TGGGCCGCGCTGGCGCTGCTACCCGCACGGCCACCTGGAGTCGCACCTGCTGCTGTCCATGGCCTACTCGCTGCTCCTGCTGCTCGCCGCCGCCGCCCTCGCCCTCGCGTGCTGCCGCAGGTACGAGCTCGCACCCTCACCCTCAAGGCGGTTATACACGTTCGGTATTCGGCGACCGCTCGCCGAATCCCGAGAAGTGGGGATGGGTTGCTTGCTATTTGCCGAGCGACGAACATTCGGTGCTCGCCCTATCACCTCGTGTCAGTCTTTTGGATACTTTAAAGGAAGCGAACATTCGCCCAGCACTACAGCCGCTCGGGATTGGACGAGCAGTAGCACACTTCTCGGCTAATTCGCAATATGTGGAGCCACCCTCGAGGTCGAGCCAAGCACTTTCTTTTCTTACATCACACGTTCACTTTCAGGAGTCACCGGCATAGGGATGGATCCAGACAGTATTTAAGGGCCTGGAAGGACCTTTAAAATTATTTATTTATTAACTCAAAATTTTAAAAAAAAGTACCATTGTATGAAAATGGGAATATTGCAATGTATGTGACGAAATGTGTGATAAATATATACGTATAGTACTCGTAAGTATTTTGAATAAACCGAGTAAAATTATAATAAATGTTGGCGGGGGGTAGGGGCATGGTCTTCCACCATTGCAAATATGTTCACATTCGGAAATAGCAGGATAATGTTTAGGCAAAATCCTTTAATAATCGAAATAGTCACGTTCGCATTCAGACAAGACTGTAATCAATAGTACTAAACGGGTTATTCACAATTACGAAACAACTCTACGATCTTCTGGAATAAAATCTGTGAACGAAATTCACCTAAATTGCAATTTTATATCAGTATAATAAAATTCTTTCATCCTTACTATTTAAATAAATATTTCAACAGTGACATGTTATAATAAATGCTAAGTTCATTATAAAAAATACATTATCTGTATATTTATTAGAAAATGTTTGGTTTCTGTACAAATTTTGCCATAAACTCCTTTGTAGTTCATATGAATACTCATATACAAGTCAATTGACTTTTTCATAGAAATTTATTCAACCAATTTTTATATACGTTGTTCTTTTTGCATGCCATTTAAGCACGACTTTCATTAAAAAAATAAATAGATAATGAAATATGTCACATCACTCCCCTCTCTCCTTTCTGGATATGATTTTATTATGGATAGACCTCTATTAGAGATTTCCTTGCTGGATCTGACCCTGAAATGAGTAATAGTATCTTAGGTTATTCTCATGTTCTAAAATCCCGAACACCCATTGATCTGCATGTTGCCTTCATATGACAATGAATTTAAAAAAATAAAAAAATAAAATAAAAACGGCAGAATCAAATTGTGCAATCAATTCTACACAAACTAGACTGATTGTGCGGCAATGTCGCGCTTCCCTGAGGAGAAGATTTTGATTGATTTTGATTTCAGAATGGTGACTTCTGATTGTAAGTCAGCTGGGCGCGGTAATCCTATCCAAACGCTTCGTTTCGACTTAATTTTAGGGATTGAAGTTCCAGATTGGATAACCGCGTCCCATCTGATCAAACATCAGACGTCGCTACAATTAAATCGGAGTGAACGAGAGATGCCTGAAAAAGCCGGCGGAAAAATTGAAGAGCACTTGATGGTGTTTGAATTCTTTAAAATTAAATTTATATACACGTTTTTGTTTTTTTTTATTCTTGCACTTTTGCGCATTTTTCAAGGACATTAGGGAGTGTGTGCCATCTCGAAAGTTAAAGCAAGTTAAAGGGAAACTTGAACTGTAAATGCGCAGATCGATAGTGCTTGCACGCCTTAGCAGGCAGCAATCGACTGCAATTTCGATTTTTTGCGCATGCGCAGAAGATTGTGATTGCAATAGATTTCTGCCCGCTAAGGCGTGCAATTACTCCCTATTAAGCCTCTCCCCTGGCGTATTTAAATAGAGTGTGTATTTAATTAGAGCCCTCTATTTAAATAGAGTGACTTCTGGCTTTTGATCAGGTGGAGGCAGTTATTCAATCGTTACGATTCAAGTACTGAATATAACCAATCCTTTGAACCAAACAATTCTTTGAACAAATTTAATTATTAAAATGCATTGTTACTCAGTAACGTGATCACAATTTGCATTCCTTTACGACTGCGGAATATATTCTTAGAGCGTAATTGCGTCCAACAAGGTGACGGGATGGTGACAATTATATATAATATATACATGGAGCGATAATCACGTTCGTGAAAACTGCTCGAAGGATTGGTAACTTAGTGGTTAGAGCAGCTGGGCACAAACCAGAAGGCCCGGGATTGAGTCCCGGTCGTGCAACCAATTTTTTGAACAAAATTAATTAGTACTGAATATAGTTACCCAAGATTTTTGGTACTGAAACTTACTACAAAACGCATCGCATCTGATCGACCTCTCGTGTCAATCGGAGAATGTCAAGGCGAGCGGCGCTTGTGCGCGCTTTGTGGCGCAGGCGCGGGCGCGGGCGCGGGCGCGGCGCGGCGAGTGGCGGCGCGGCGGCGGAGGCGGCGCTTGATTGGCGGCGGGCTGGTGGGGGGGCGCGCTGCTGCGTGGGCGGCGGCCGGCGCGCTGGTGGCCCGCGCGCGCCGACCTTCTGCTCGGGGCCGCGCACCTCTGGCCGCCGCAGCGCTGGTGGTCTTGGCTCTACGTGCCAAGGTGGCCCGCCCTTACCTCTGCAGCCGTTTTATTTACTTATTTATTTATTTATTATTTATTTTATTTATATTATTATTTATTTATTTAATTTATTTATTTATTTATTTATTTTATTATTTTTCATTATTTATTTATTTTATTATTTATTTATTTATTTTTTATTTATTTTTTATTTTATTTCTTTATTTTATTATTTATTTA